TATATATATATATATTAAATGCATTTTTTAACTCTAATATCATCGCAATTATCTTACATTTCGTAAGAGGAAAACACACTAATTATTTCCTTTTTCGTATTTCGTAAATCATCATCACATCAAAGAAAAAAAATTATAAAATCGTGAATCTACCGAAAAAAAGATCGATGACGAAATCATGCGAATCCATGCTCTTCAAAAAGGGCGTTACTAAATGCGTGTTTCATTTCGAGATTCGGCTGTTATAATAAATAATATCGTGTAAAAATATAAGATTTTATTTCATGCGGAAATAAGCACCCCTCCTCCAAAAAAAAAAGCGATAGAATCATTGCTTAAAAAATTAAATATTCATAAGCTAGATTCGAATTACCCAGATTTTCAGAAATATATCAGGGCATTTAAAAACCACGTCAGAATCAATATTAATAACTGCCAAAAATACAATCGAAGCACTACATGGATTTGCGATAGTATCGTCATAAAGTGAGCACGTCAAAAAGTGATTATTCAAATGCGCAATTTAAATTTCACGTGTAGCAAATAAAAAATCGTAAAAACGATGAAATCGTCACTTTAAAATTTAATCATTAATCTGAGTTTTGCATATTATTAATTGTATAAAAAATATCGAGATTTGTTTTGATAGAAAATTTGAAAATCCTTGGCAATAACTGTCGAAAGAACGATTGAAATACCGCATGGATTAACGAGAATATCGGAGCAAAACGAACGTGTCAAAGAATGATTTCTTGAATCCGCGATTCGAATTTTGCGTGCCGTAATAATATCGGTATATTTCAAAAATTCACGAGAATATAAATAATAACTGAGCAATAAAAGACATCGGGATTTCGAAAAACAAAGCAAAATTCGTGGCAATAATTGCCGAATAAAATTGATTAAAACCTGCATATATTTACGATGGAATTAGCGCGAGTAGTGAGCGAAAAAGTGAAAACTCAAATGCGTGATTTAAATTTATCATGTGCATAATTTTTTACAAATAATATTGGATAGATTTCATTTCAATTAAATTTAAAAAAAAAAAAAAAAAAAAAAAAATAGGACATCATTTTGCTACAAATCTGAATTTGTAACAAAATCCCTACTAACAGTCAAATTTTATTAAAATGTAATAAATATATGGTGTACTTAAAAAATATATATAGGAATGAAAGAACAGGATTTCTAGAAAGCGAACTTCTTGCAATTTTGGTTTTTTTGTTTTCTCCCCTTACATTTTGTGCTTGAAATTCTAGCTAATCGAAAAATCCGGAGCATTTCTTTTCCTTCCGATGTGTGTGAAAGAAATCTTTTGAAAAATGAAGTAAAAGTTTTGTGATATAATATACGTTTTTACATAATAACTCTGGAGGGGAAAAAATATCCGTAGAAAAGAAAAACCAAAATTTTTTTACTTCCTTATTCTTTATTTTTCATTATTCCCAAATAAGAATAGAAAAATCACGAACATTTCTTTCCCCTCGTATGCGCGAAAAAACATCTTTTGAATATAATTATGGAGAGAAAAAAATCTTTAGAACATCTCTGCAGAAAAGAAATTTTTCAAATTTTTTAACTTAATTTTTGAAAAAATATTAGTTAAATATATCTTTGTACCAATCTTTAGAATCTTTAATGTATACAAATTCTTTTTCTTGTTATGAAACATTAAAAAATAATTTTCACTCTCTTAATCATTAAATAAAGTGTTGTATAGAACAAGCAACACAATAACCAAACTAAACGTAATCACGCCTATTCCCTTCTTAGTGAATCAAAAAATAAGTACATTATAAGAGCAATTGTATCTTGTGTAGGGTATATCACAATGCAAAATGTGCATCATTTTATAAATTAAAAACTGTGTCGAAATAAAAATTGTTAGCAATAAGTTTAACTAATGATTAACTGCAGATGATTATTAGTCCCAGTTTTCCTAATTATTTCATTTAAAATTTTTAAAGTTCAGAATTTGAAAGCAATAAATTTGAGAATTTATTTCCCACATTTAATCTGATTCTCTGAGCATTATTCTCAGCTTTCTTCCTTCCAAAAAGTTTAAAAAGAGTGAGGGGGGGTGGGAATCCTTCCTAGTTATTTTATGAGAAAAATAGTACACAGCAGGGAAAACTAAATAATTCTATCCGGTGTCAAGAAGTCCGGAGTTAAGAAGCAGTTAGTAAGTTTTGCATTTGGACATAAATTAAATTAGAATGTTACACAACTTAAAAAGCTACTCTTAGAAAGCGAATATACCTTTTAATTTTGCTCGTACTCTATTGGCGGTTTTCTTAATATCAGCCATAAGATCTTCCAATTCTTGTTTAACCTCTGAAAGTAATATATTACATTAATTCAAGAACAATCAAATATTCTCCTTATCTATTTTATGAGTAAAAATATCAACAAAATTAGATTTATTTTGCCTTTCTAAACAATAACGCAATATCAACACTTTTTCTTATTTACTAGATTCCTACTACTCAATTCCCGATTAATACTAAATAAGTATTGTAATAAAGTAATATTAATATAATAATAAGGCATGATTAAAAATATAGTACACTCCTGATTATCTGTGTGAGGATTATTCATACTTCGTTTTGTTATGATTGGCTAAGATAGCCATCTTACCATCAGTTTTTCATACAGAAAGCTTTAAAAAATAAGTTTTCATGGAACAGGAAATTCTATATATTGGATTCGTAATAGTATATATTAGAATAAATATTATAATTCGATTGTTAAATCACTTGAAGATCATTAGGGAGACACACAAAAAAAAATTTTTTTTTCATCATTGCTGTTACATCTTTAACAATTACATTTTTAACCATAGAATATTACCTCTGGCAATTTCGACAACGAAGTGCAAGGGAAAAATGTTTCCGAATTTGAAAAATAGAAAATCATTAATGTTCTTATTTATAATGATTAACGTATGATTCTTAAAAATTTATAACATTGCCCAAAAGCAGCTTCTTTTACACGAAACTTATTCCATTGTTTGTAAAATAGTAATATTTAAACCCTTTGCGGTCATATGTCAACTCTCAGCAACCAACGCTTTTTTACTGTTCCAGTCGTATGTCTCCTCCGTGCCACCACAGCAAAGAACCATACTGATCTTACATTATGTTAAGTCGACAAGCTTCGGACATACGTAGAATTCGAAATAATATTTTATAAATTGTGTTTAAGTAAATTAATTCCGACCAGCATGACACCCATGTATAAACTTAATACGACCTCAAAGGTTTAAACTAGTTTTGAGGATTAACTTGTGTTATTTGTAAGCAATTTTGGCCTCATTTTTGACAAAAATTCAAATTAAATAATTAAAAGCGTTTATTATGAAACACCCTGTGTATTAAGAAATACCTTAATAAGATAGCAGTAGTTAAAATACAATAAAAGTCCTCCCATAAAAACATGAAAAATTTAAATAAAGAAATACAGCTTTGAAAAACTTTTCATTAAATTTTTATAAAATATTTCAGATTTTCTTGTATGTATTAGGTAAGCTTATTGTGGGACAATTACGTAAAGCATTTTCAGTAACTTTTTTTAATTTTTTGAAAAATTGGCATGGCGTCAATTTTTTTTTAATCAGTTACAATGAGAAGTTAAAAAGCATACCACAATTGTGTTAACATTTCTATACAAAATAACAAGTTTAAGTTTGAAATTCTCCTGACAACTTTTAAGAAGAAAAAATTAGACGAAAACCGTTAAAGAAAAAATGATAATTTCTCTGCTTAAACATAACTTAACTAAAATTTTATTTTAGTTAGTTTGTGATATAACATTGTGTAAAAATAAATTCCTTAATTAGATAATGAATTTTTAACTAAATAAGTGGTATTACCTAAAATACAATAGCATGAGAACTGAAAAAATATAGTGGCAATTATTTAAACAGATATTTTTTTTTAAATTTAATTAAACTATGAATAAAACTCAAAGATAATAAAGTTATTTTGCTAGATTTCTTAACATAAAATTTAATTAAAATAATAACATAACATAAATTTAATTAAAATAATACACAAAATTTAATTAAAAAAGGTTAAAAAAGAAAAGGGAAAAAAAATGAAAAGAAAGAAATTATATTTTACTGCATAAAAAATATTTAACAAGTATGAAATTATGAAACTTAATTTATTTTTATAAAAAATTACATCATCTTTAAAAGTTAGGGAAATAAAAATAATATATGCAAAAAAGTAATTTCAATTCACCCACAAAATAAAATAAATAAATAACATTAATTACCACAAAAAGAAATTTTGATTTTCCTAAACCAAAATATAAATAAACAATTGATAATCTGTTTAGCTTCATAAAAATATTAGATAATTTCTTATCTTCCAAGATTGTAAGCAAATCATAAAAAATAATTACTGTCATCTGTTTGTGGGGCTGAAAGAATTGCACTGTGTATCTTTTTAACTTCTTCCACATTTCCTTGTATTTTTTCGATATTCTCCCTGATTTCTTCAACCTATAACAAAAATCTTACATTAAACACAATCAATAAAACATAATGATAAATAGGCTGTTCTAATAACATAAAACATTCAATCATTAAAAATAATTTTTCATTTTCAAAAATAATCAATTTATCTTCATTATTTCGTTTAATCAATTTCAGCCTGGGAAACAAAAAGGTATTAATTAGTTGATAAAAAATACAAGAGCAACAATATTTTCTCTAATCATAAAATTATTTTTGTTTATTAAATTATCTCTTTGAGAATTACAAGTAATTTTCATCACAAATAGTCGAAACGAAATAGTTTCAGTTAAAAAATTTGGAAAATACCACGAGTAACTTTCATTTTTAAATTATGGTGTTTAAAGAAAAATATAAAACAAAATTATCCTTTTGCGGAGCACCTTTTGGGAACCATTGCTTTATAACAACAATACAACTGCAACCATCGATAAGGAACTTTTTTCAATTTTAAATTAAGAAATTTAAAAAAAAAGGTGTAAAAATGAAATACAAAAAATCGGAACACGAGATAAATTCTCGTCGTTATAAGAATCGACTAAACTCGTTAATCTTAATATCTGGAGATCTCTCCAAATCTCTCTTTTTCAAAATTTCAAGTCGACAAAAAGTTGGTATTGCTGTCACATCTTTTTAGTCAAAGTTTTAGGTTTTCAAGAATTCGACTCTATTAATGCGTGAAACTTAGTTTATAACACCGCTCAGTTCCGTTACCTAATGCTGCACCTAATATTGTTTGTTTCGTGGAGGAGCCACAATCCAACCTTCTCCGATTTGATAAAATTGCTCCTAAAAGAAACTGAATCTGAAGCAAAATATTCCGCTTATTAGTTGTACCGTGTGTTAATTAAGTTGAAATCCTTATAGAATCAGATTTAATTTAGCAAGCGTGGATTCATTTAAAAGTATATCCTCTTTGACCATACTAATCGGCGTAGAATTCATTAATTAACAGTTTTCCAAGTCATTTTCTAAGAAGGGAAAAACACTATCCAGATTTGTGAGTAGAATTTTAAATGCTTTCCAGTTCTCCGTATTGTTTACTTCTTGTTTAGCTTTTAATGCAATTTTTATTCTCGGGAGAATAAGATATCCTAATCACGATTTTCATTTAAATCTTAGCCTGGTTCCCTTTGGATGTAAGAATCTGAAAGCCCTTGACATCTCATGCCCATTCTTTTTAGACTTGAGAGTTATTTTTCTTGGTATTTCCCAGATTCCCATGCGTGTCGTGTGTTACATTTTCATTTCATTGATTTTGACGTAGAAACAGACCTTATTTTTCTATTTGGTTGCCTTTTTTTAGAGCCAGAATCAGCGTAGAATACTGAGTCGTTGTTTCGATGCATGCATATTTAACTTTATTGCAATTTAATAGAATGTTGGTTAGATTCTTATTTTATACTTAGTTTTTTAACTAGCGCTCGTAAAATTGTACCATACGAAACGGACACAGTGTATAAATTATTCTGAAGAAATATTCTCCCTTTTTATTTTTATTTTAATCCATTAATAAACATCCGTATGACGGACTTAAGGAAATATAGTGATAAGCCACGCCCTTCCTCAAAATGATATTTTTAAGTTTTTATATCTCCTTTCTATTGTTTCCAAATAGGAACTTAACAAATTTAAATTATTTCCAAATAGGAACCACATATAACAGCACAATACACAGAACCATCTTATTCCCCGGCATGGAAATCTTGGTATATCTCCCCAAACAGCTGTCATGAAAAATTTTAAAATGTGGCTTTTTAAAAATATTACCTCAAGGTCGTAATAGATTATTAATTTCGTTTAATCACTGTTTCCGTTTTTTAATCTATAGTCATTTTTACTGTAATAACAGTTTTTTCTGGAACATTATTTAACATATGTGTTTAGCTTAACAGTTGTTTTTAATTATTTATTTTTATTTGGTGTCCATAAGAATAAAATATTTTTTTAAAAAAATGGTTGAAAATTGATTTTTTTAAAAGCGCTATTTTAGCAAAATCTAGCTACCTAGTATGATTCTTAATCAATAACGAGTATGATTCTTAATCAATAACGTTATAATAGGTAATAACGAGAAAATAAAAAATAATTAAATAGAAATTTTTATCGCGCAGTCTCTAAAAAGTAGACTGCGCGATTCAGCAGTCTCAGGGTATTCCATAAATAAATATGCAGGGAATGAAAATTGAGCGATTCTCGATCTTTGCATACTTTCGTTTTTATTCTTCCTTTAAAATCTATTTAATTTTCTTATTTTTGTGCAGTCCGATTTCTACTTTGACAGGTGCTGAGAATTCAAATGATTCTATAGCTATTTTAAACTTTGTCAACATAGTTAACAAAGTAAAAGACTTCCAGTTGTTTATTTTCGCACAAGTTATTCTTAAAAAGTTCTGTATCTGGTAATATTTACTTTCCCATACCTACAAAACTATTTATCTGATCTAACGTATCAAATCTGTGAGAAAGGAATTTGTTTTTGATCCAGTTTTGTAAAATGAACTTATATAATCAGCTTTAAAGAAGAAGAAAAACTTTTTTTTTTGGCCTGACAATTTTAAATTTATTTTGTTTATGTTGAAGTTTCTGGTTGCAAATATGAAAGCCTTTTTCTCAGCTGTACTTTTCGGAATTCAGATTTCTTTACTTTTCAAAAATTCAACTTTTGTCCCTACGACAAGAATATTCTTTCGTTGTGTTGAATTGTAAACAGTTTCTATTCTATTTTATCTGTCCTTGAACAGCCGACTCAATTTTGGGTTTACGACTACTAATGTTCAACTCTGTAGCCTTGTAATTTTGAACCCAATCCAGAAGACAAGGAAACTCCTGGATCAGTACCCACAGAGGTTTTGATTTGTAATGGGAACATGGAGGACTTTGCAACTCGACAGATTTAACGTGCATTAGTCACCATTTACTGCACGGGGAGTCTTCGGCCGGCGGGGATCGAGCCCACTAGCTCTTGGACATGAGCCCGGTGCCCTACCAGTCAGGCTATCCAGGCCTAAACAGTTTCTATTGAAGTAGTTACATTTATACTGGAGATAGGTACATTATTTACGTCGTACTAGAGCCGCACAATGAGCTATTGGCGACGGTCTGGAAAACATCCCTGAGGATGATCCGAAGACGTATCATCGCAATTTTGATCCTCTACAGAGAGGTGGCTCCCCAGCTTTGGTAGCACGGCGACCTAAGCTTGAAGTCGAGCACTTTACGGTAGAACAGTTTCACGAGGACCGATAACGCGTACACTCGGTCCCTTCGCAGACTGATCAAAGTGGTCGCCACTGTTTGACTTCGGTGTCCAACTGGGAACCATGTCTTTACTATCAGTCCACTGCGGGACATGTATCCTATAGAGAAAACTCAACTTGTAATTACATGTATTCAAATACGGAAACATTTTTCTTTATATGTATACAATATACCGCAAAAGGAGACAGCTTAGTGCCACTCACGCTTGTTTTTTCTTTTTTCGAATAAAATTACATTTTGTGATAACTAGAATAACGATAACAGTACGAGAATTTTTTTGTCCCTTTTAGGAGCAATATTAAATTGGAAAACAACTATCATTTTTGTGGTTGCTTACTAGTGTTGACCTCTAAAAGTTATAATTTAGTTGTACTTCTTTCAATGTTAGCCCAAAAATTCGCCTATTTTAGCTAGGCAAACATATTATATTATTATGGATAAAGTAAGCTGATATTTATGTTCATAAATTAAGAATTTTTGAAAGAGTCACCAAGAGTCATTAATCGTAAAATTAGTCGTAATTTTTCTTCATATGTTATTTGAGTGTTGAGGAAAATCTAGAAATCATTTAAATATTCGTGGTTGATGGCAATGTTTTGCCTCTAACAAGGGGTTGTAATTAGCAGCGTGCCGATCGAATAGCTGTAAGATTTCCAGGATGAATTACATTTTGAATTAATCACATCATGACTTCATATAATTAACTCTGTTTGAAAATTTGTAAATCCTTATCGGAAGATTTTGCAAATGTAGGATATTAATGCGAGTGCCGCAAAATAGAAACAGGCATCTCAGAAATTTAACTGTTACAGCTTAATTAACTAAGTTATTAACTGTGCTAATAAAATAAAGTCATTGATGATGATTTTCATTAAAGTACAATGAATTTCAAATGCCTTTTATTGATAGTGCATTAACAAACTTAAAAATTATTTTTCATTTCAAAATTAGCATTTCCATTTCAATTAATGAAATCGTTTCCCCATTTATTTATTTTTAAATTTATTGATCAATTTAAGTAAATTCCATCGCTTTCTTATATCTTAATCTAAAGTATTTTAAAATCAGCTATGATTTTAAACTGCACATCTCATTTCTTATTGGGTTAAAAATGTTCATATTTTTAAAGTTTGTTATGGACACATGCAAAAGTTAAATTTTTTAAGCATAATTTTGATAATTAATTTTCATAAAAATAGTTTCTTAGAAATAATTAGACAGAGCATAAAAAGAGACAATAAATTTTATAGATTACTTTAATTTTTGTCTTTTCATTATGAATATTTTAAAATTCAAGGAGGCTCTGTCCCTGTTCGCTTCGCTTACCAAACACCGTGGATTCTTCTCATTCATCATTGAAGATAAAGGAAAAGAACGATTTGTGTCAATTTTTTACAAAAATTTTGCATTTTGAGGATGACTAAATATTGCCAAATAATTAACATGGGAAATTAATTCCCTTACCTCCCCGAAAGTTATTACGCAATGAACATAGACCGTGCCGTCAAAAAAACAGATCCTGTTATTGCGCAAATTTTATTTTATTTTTCACAGAATTAGCATTAATGGATAAAAACTGTTTTTCTTCTTGATCTTCTTAAAAGTTTTTTTCTCTTTCTAAAAAGTAGATATTTTTTTTTTAATTTTGTTTAGAAAATATGTAACTATAATTTTATGTAAGCACATTTTATTAGCACGATGGCTACGCTAATTTTACATGGCTTGCT